GTGTGTATGCGTGTGTGTATTTATGTGTGTGCATGTATGAGTGTGCGAGCGTGCATGCGTGTATATATGTATGTTTGAGTGCATGTATGCGTGAGTTTATGCGTGTGTGTGTGTATATATATATATATATATGTATGAGTGCGTGTATGTGTGAGTTTATGCGTGTGTGTGTGTGTGTGTGAGAGAGAAGTTATGGGAGAGTGTGTATGTGTGACAGTGTGTGTTTGTGTGTGTGTGCATGTGCGTGCATGAGTGTGTTTGTGTGTCTGCATGCGTTTATGTGTGTGTGTGAGAGAGAAGTTATAGGAGAGTTTTTGTGTGGCAGTGTGTGCATGTGTGAGTTTGTGTGTGTATTTATGTGTGTGCATCTATTTGTGCATGAATGTGTGTGCACACGCATGTATGAGAGAGACAGTGTTTGTGAAAATGTGTGTGTGCTTCTGTATGTCTATTTATATGTGTGTGTAGTGTACTTGTACTCACAGGTCCAGTCTCCCAGCACTCTGAGATGAATACCAAATGTTTCATTCTTGCCTGTTGGACACTGAAGAACACTCAAACACACACACACACAAACACACACACACACACAAAACACACACACACACACACAGAGAGAGAGAGAAACACAGACACAGACACAGTGAGAGAGCAGAGTTTGTGAGGATCAGGTACAGTCATGCATTAAAGGAAACACACCCCTGGGGCGCCAAAACTCTGAGAAAAGTGTTCAAGTCAGTGAAAAATCTCCACTAACAACCCCTGGCAGAAACTCTGAGTGTGTAAAGCAGGAGAGCTGTATTGCTTCAACATGCAAAAATACACTTTGAATTGAAACATCTTGGGCATTGTGTAATGTGTAGCTTGAAAGCTGACACTATAACAATGTGCAACAAAATGACATCATCTCAAATGCCTTCAGCCGTGTTTGAGAGGAATACATACACTCACCGGCCACTTTATTAGGTACACCTGTCCAACTGCTCATTAACGCAAATTTGTAATCAGCCAATCACATGACAGCAACTCAATGCATTTAGGCATGTAGACATGGTCAAGACGATCTGCTGCAGTTCAAACCGAGCATCAGAATGGGGAAGAAAGCTGATTTAATTGGCTTTGTATGTAGAATGGTTGTTGGTGCCAGGCTGGTCTGAGTATTTCAGAAACTGCTGATCTACTGGGATTATCATGCGCAACCATCTCTAGGGTTTACAGAGAATGGCCTGAAAAAGAGAAAATATCCAGTGAGCGGCAGTTCTGTGGGCACAAATGCCTTTTTGATGCCAGAGGTCAGAGGAGAATGGCCAGACTGGTTCCAGCTGATAGAAAGGCAACAGTAACTCAAATAAGCACTCGCTACAACTGAGGTCTGCAGAAGAGCATCTCTGAACACACAACATGTCCAACCTTGACGTGGATGGGCTACAGCAACAGAAGACCACACAGGGTGCCACTCCTTTCAGCTAAGAACAGGAAACTGAGGCTACAATTCACACAGGGCTCACCTGATTGGACAAAAGATGATTGGAGAAACGTTGCTTGGTCTGATGAGTCTCGATTTTTGCTGTGTCAATCGGATTGTAGGGTCAGAATTTGGCATCAACAACATGAAAGCATGGATCCATCCTGCCTTCTATCAATGGTTCAGGCTGGTGGTGGTGGTGGTGTAATGGTGTGGGGGAGATTTTCTTGGCACACTTTGGGCTCATTAGTACAAATTGAGCATCATGTCAACGCCACAGCCTACCTGAGTATTGTTGCTGACCATGTCCATCCCTTTATGACCACAGTGTACACATCTTCTGATGGCTACTTCCAGCAGGATAACACACCATATCATAAAGCGTGAATCATCTGAGACTGGTTTCTTGAACATGACAATGAGTTCACTGTACCCAAATGGCCTCCACAGCCTCCAGTCTAAATCCAATAGAGCACATTTGGGATGGGGTGTAATGGTAGATTCCAGGGTTCAACGCTAAGGATTTTTTCTACTGGTCCGATCGGGCAAGTGGTTTCGATTTTTACTTGCCCTACCAAAATTTTCACTGGCCCCACCAAAAAAAAAAAGGTAAGTTAATAGCTATTTTTAGCCACATATTTTAAATAATGTGTCAAAAATGAAGTCTGTAAATCTAGAATTTCAATACTTAAAAAACAATTGTAAATATAAGTGTTATGCAAACAAAAACAGCAGTATGGAAAATATGGAGGTATTTAATTGCAGTTTGAAATTATTTAACAAAAGCTTGCTGACTTGTCAAACTGACAGCAAACTATACATAACATCACTAAATTTTTATTTTATCGTGTTGTTTCCATGTAAATATCTACTTCCAAGATGCTAGAGACAGACATTTTCTTTTAGCCTTATAATTTGATGTTGCTGACATGTTGCTGTTTCTATGCTGTACTGGTTGTTACCAGGTAACAAAAAAAAAATAGCATGGTTAAATCAATCATATAAGACGAATCAGAAAGCAATATGTTGTGTACGACATTACAGAGAAGGTAGCATTTAAAGACTTAAAAGCACAAGCTTTAAATGCACGCAATTGACAAATAGTCACAGACAAATTAAATGTTAGTGACTGATAAGGCAGCACTGTCCCAATCGGGCCAGTAATGATCCGGTCTACTGTCCCAAGCGTCTCTCACACTGGCCCTGGGCCACCGGGCAGTCCTTATTGTTGAGCCCTGGATTCACATCATGGATGTGAAGCCGACAAATCTGCAGCAACTGCATGAGGCTATCATGTCAATATGGAGCAAAATCTTTGAAAAATATCTCCAGTATCTTGTTGAATCTATGCCACGAAGGATAAAGGCAGTTCTGAAGACAAAAACGGGTCCAACCTAGTACAAGTAAGGTGTACCTATTAAAGTGGCCAGTGAAAGTATGAATTTGTAAATTACAGCTGCGAGGCGATTTGCTTTAAAATGATTAAATGTATTATGCAAACACTCACAATTTGTACCAAACAAATTAAAAAATGTAAACATGCAATTAAAATGTTATTATAACCGACACCAATTAGCCAGGATTCAATCTGCCGCATAAATGCATTCCTGAGCTTCCCACTGTTATGATGAAAATGCAGTGGTGTTAATGTGCTTTTATCTTATGACTATGAGCATGACTGGAATGCAGTAACTCACTCACACACACACACATACAACCACACACACAGAGACACGTACTGTGGTCAGGGTGAAGGGATGGTTTTCAAATGACGACACAGTTGGACAGTTCAGCAGGATGTACTAGATGAGATGATCAGAAACACATGAATGTGATTACCACACAAAGACAAGCAAAACAATCAATAATTCTGTTTTAATACCGAGAGTGTGATTAACCAATGAAGGAATTTATTTAGCTATATAAAAGTATATAGTTTATCTAAAGTTACGAGTGAGAAAGATGTTAGGTTTCTGAAAGAAGTTTCTACATTTATGTTGTACTGTGCCATCTGGTTGTGTGAGTATTCTTTCTGAATTGTATTTATGTTATTTCCTTTCATTCGTTATGGGCCATATACTTTAATATATAGTTATATAATTATTTATTTTGTTTACATTTAAGAAAATCTGTATAGATTTCTCATGTGATTCTCATTCCTCCTGACGGGTTTGTGGGTGGGTGTGGGTATGTAACCTTGAATAGTTCTAGTTTAAACTAAAAAAATTTAAAAAATGCAGACAATGTGTTGTTCTCTGTTGTGATTACCTATATTTTACCTGTCTGTGCAAAAAAAAAAAAATATTATTTTAAAAATCTGTTTCTGCAGTTTAACAATAAATAAAAAAAAATAAATTATTTAAAGAAATATATAATATTATAAACTAAATTATTATTATTATAAAAAAATATTATATTTTATATTATAAAATAATATTTAATATATATAAATAATATAAATAAAATATATTAAATAATACTGCATAAATAATAATAAATATAATTAATAAAAAATAAATAATAAAATGTAAATATTAATTCAAAACAATTGTTTTTTATTGTAAAATCATTAAAATCATTAATAATCACGTAATGCAAAGCTGAATTATCAATGTGCTGCCCTAAATATACATTTTTAATTCTATTACGTTTAAATTTTTTCCTGGAAATGTGACTCAAAATAATGTGGAAAAGAATCATTCTCGATTTATAGAATGGAGATAGAAATATTCTATTTTAATATTATAAAGATTTTTTTATATTACTGTTGATCAATCTAATGATTTATTGCTGAACAAAAGCATTTATTTCTTAAAAAACAGACTGGTTGGGCAAGTAGCAAAGTTTCTTATGCTTAAATGTATATATTAATATAAAATTATAGAAAGAATGATATCAATTATATAAAAATATGTATATAATAAATAAATAAATAAAAATAAACAAAAATAAATAAATATTTAATTGTTTTTATTTATTCTGTTTGGGTGAAAATAATTTTTTCAAAATACTTTACTGAAAACAAACGCATTTTCAATACAAATCTTTTGTAACATTACAAGCGTGTCACTTTTGATCAATCTTAAGGCTCGTACACACCGGGACGCTTTCCGTTTGCGTTTATCGTCAGCGTTTTTCCAAGATGTTTTTTCGTATTCAAACCCAAGCGATTTTCACTGGCGTCGAGCAGAAGAGGATGCAAAATCACTCCTTGACGTTAGATGGCGCTACACAACTTTAAGCTTCTGACACCCGCTTGTAACACAGAAGAAGAAGACAAAGTTGACACGCCAATGAAGAAATGATTATTGTTCAGCAGAGCAATAAGCAGCTCCACGTTCATATCGCCTTTTGGCATCTTCTTCAATGTGCGCTCACACTGACAGTTTTGCGATTGAGCGCCTCCAAGTGCTGTTTACTGTAACTTCAGCAGCTCCGTGCACGTGAACAAAAGA